CTTAACTTTAATTTATATATATATATATATATATATATATATATATATATATTGTCAAATTGTTATAATTTTTCATATATATATATATTGTCATTTATATATGTATATATAATTAATGCAAAAAGTTTGTATACACAAAATGCAATTAATAAATAAATCATGAAATATATGTGTACCCAAACTTTTACATTATTGTAAATTTACTCCTAAAATAATTTTTGGCTTAAATATATTTTTAATCCCTATAAAATGAATGAGTTTTGATTTTGGTCCCTTTAAAATTTTTTTTTACTTTTCATCCTTCTAAAATTCATAAATATTATTTTTGGTTCTTATGAAATGAGTATATTTTAATTTTTATCCTCGTAAAATATTTTTATCTGATTTTCATCATTCTAAAATCTAAAATCATTATTTTAATTCTTAATGGTCATTTTAAAAATATATTATACAAATTTTTAAATGTGTCAAACATTGACATGATATAGCTAACAATCATGAATAACATTTAGGATAGTCACTTAACTTATTAATAAACAAAAAATAGTTAAAACTAATCACATAAAAAATAAGGACTAAAAACAATAATTTCAATTTTATAAAGTTTGAAAAACAATTCTTTTTATAAGAATCAAAACCAAAACTTATTAATTTTATATGAATTAAAAATATATTTAACTCATAATTTTTTACAATTTTTTCCCAAATTGTAAGAATATTTCGAATTATATATCCGTCGATAATCCGTTAAAATACAAACTATGCACATAATTACCATTTTTAATTACTTGCTTATTTTACGCTCAATCCTTAGATTAGCAAAAACTATTAGAAAAACCAAAATGAATCTTCGGAAATACACGATGCGCATAATTATTAATTACTTATTTAAATTTGTGAAACAATAGTTGTATCTAAAAGTCCCTGAAGATATATATACGAAACCCTTATATTCAATTATTCATCACTCTCTATTACTAACACTAGTAGCTTGTCTTCAACTCTCGAGAGAATTCATCGAGAAAATGGATATAACATAGGAGATATAAAGTGAGTATGTTTAATTTTTTTCTTAAAATATATTTATTTTTATAAAATAAGCACCTTTTCTTTTATATATATATATATATATATATATATTGTTTATTTTTTCGATATAAAATCAACCTCAACTTGCCATCCCATACACTACGGCCCAAGTTTTTCACTAGACCAAACTAAACAATAAGGTGATATAAGATCAAATAAGATATAGCCAACGTTGCACTCGCAGCATCATTTCCAAATTCCTTTGTGGGTTTTATTTTTATCACTGAATAATGAATACAAAGCTAAAAAAATATTAAAAAAAAAAATATAGAAGAATCCATGTTTCCATTTCAGAGTTCAGACACTGTCATCATGAAATGAAGGCTCCACATTCGAATATCTAAAAGTCCCTGAAGATATATATACGAAACCCTTATATTCAATTATTCATCACTCTCTATTACTAACACTAGTAGCTTGTCTTCAACTCTCGAGAGAATTCATCGAGAAAATGGATATAACATAGGAGATATAAAGTGAGTATGTTTAATTTTTTTCTTAAAATATATTTATTTTTATAAAATAAGCACCTTTTCTTTTATATATATATATATATATATATTGTTTATTTTTTTTAAAATAAGTACTTTTCTATTTTTAAAAAAGCAATTATCCCATTTACTTCTTAAAAAATATTTTTAAAAAACATTTATTTATAAATAATTTTTTTAAAAAATTTAAACAACCATACCCATAATAACAAAGAGAAAAAAATGTGGAAAGTTTTATTTATTCGAACTGGTAAGAAGAAAGTGACCATTAGCTCTGAAATATGCTAGCTTCTCTAGAAGCTTAAATAAAATACATTAACCGTTCAAATTTAGGCATTGCAGAAATGGCTTCAATGGCAGTGCCAAGAGGCCATGCTGCCGCCACAAGAGCACCCTGATATTGAATTTTATTTGCCACTATAATCTCTTGCCATGGATCCACACCTGAAAGCAAACGGAAGAAGTTAGATTAATTAGGAAGACAAAACATACAATAGAAGTTATAACAACATATATAATTTCTTACACCCTTTAATATTAACTAAAATTTACAAAATTATAAATAAGATTCATTAAATATAAATGACATCTATTTTTTTTTTTTAATAAATATAATTTAGATAGTGTCTCAAAACTTACTACTAAAAAATATTATTAATTCATGAAGTACGATTTTTGTGGATCAAATATTATTTTAACATTTATAAAGATCAAATTTTAAAATATTTATGTTTTAAGATAGATCTTACAATTACTCGGTTAAGAAGTCTGAGTAGTGGCATTAATTTGTTTCTAATTTTTAATAAAGAACTATAAACATGTTAGAGACTATTTTTCAAAATATACTATTGGCAACGTATATATGACAGTGCAAACTTACCAAATCCATCAACGAGCAACGCATACATGTATGACAAATCCATGCACACATATGGAACTCTCGATTTAGCAAGAAGTGGATAAGCGGATTTGGCATCTTCAAATGTCAGTCCACAAGCTCGTTTAGCCACACTCTCAAAATCCACAGGACGAATTATGGCATCTTCTGCTTTTGCATCATAAATACCAACCTATAACAGATAATAGAATTATATAATAATGTTATTAGCATGACATAAGGAAGAGAACCAAAATTAGAAACTTATGCCACAATTAACAAAAATATTATGTAGTTGATTACATCACGGGACAAGTAAAAGAAAGATGAAGTAGCATAAATAGTTCTTTGTCCACTTCCTCTTCCACCGTCCCATATCCCACCAAATGTGCAATTCTGATGGGAACATGGCTCGTCCACTTTGAGAGCCTTAAGAACTATCTCTCTGCATTTTTCATAGCTGGGCCCTGAAATCGGAGGGTACACCTCATACTCCACTCCTGAATATTTGAAGGTCCCTTTAAAGAACAAAAATTCACTTGTTATTGGCATGCTATATGATTTAATTTTATATAATAAGGGAAGGGTCCAAGAATAATAAATGTCAAATGAAAGCAATGTGATTAATTACCATCAAATCCAGCTAAAATGCAAGGGTTGGCAGAACCACTAGTGAGCTTCAAATTCTCAGCACGAGCTGCTTCTCTTCCGTAGCGCAAGTAACTGAGAGAAAGATGTTAAAATTAAACTATATATTAAATATTAACCATGACAAGGGTCACGTGTCATATATAAAATATCTATCTTATCTGGGTTGCTATGTGGCTATTCTCAGAAATTCGGTCCACAACTTTTTGCTCCTGAAAAGCATGTAAACCTAAACTTGTGGCATGTTTGTGTGTGAGATGAAGAATTAATTAATTAGAAAAGAGACCTGTGAACATAGATCGTAATCTTTTCCCTTGGCTACTAGGTTTGTTATGTACGGATCTCCATCAGGTGCTTTTGGAGCATTTTCTGCAGTGTTCCTTGAGACAGCATATGCCATTTGAACTGATGCACCTCCAAGATCAACTACTCCCACTGTCTTTGTAAACTCTTTTCCCAACTTCCCCAATAGATAGTTAACTGCCAGCTATATAATTCATAATGTTGCAAGGTAAGTAACAAAATAATACTACTACTCCTACCTCTCAAATACAGTCCAGAATATCAGAAAAGTTCAACATTTCTCAACTAATATACTATATCAAGCCATTCTAAAAGAAATGAATGAATTGTACGTAATAATATCATGTTAGTTAAGAGTTATGTTATTCATATAATACATTTTTATGAAGTTAATTTTATTTTTGGTCTTTCATTATCACATTAATCATTGTATATTGCATATTTTTTCCTTATCTCCCTTCATTGTATAAAAATTGAAAGAAAAAAGTTATGCAAATGCTATTTTTTATATAATAATTAAAAATGATTGAAGACAAGTTTAAAAAGATTTTTTTTTAAAAGAACCTTATGTAAAAAATTATTTGTTTTTGGTAGAAAATTTTTCAAAAATCTTTTTAAACTTTATCTAAACATGTTCTTATACAATAAATATAAGAAATTATCAAACTTTAATCATAAATTATCAATGCAACAAACAATAATAAAATCTGATCATCCTTAAGGAAAATACAAACTTTGTAAGAGTACAAATTTTTTAAGAACAGTGTTAAAAATTATTTCTTAAAAATATTATTTTATAATAAAACGCTTAAAAGATATTTATAAGAATACTATATATAGTTAATGCTTAAAAGATGAAATAATTCATTCGAGAAAATTCATGATGTTCCAGACGTCTCTTTTCATATAATTGATGGTCGTAGTAAAGTAATGGGGTCGATATGTCACTACTGCAAATATTTTTTTTTAACAATATTTACCTGGTTACATTTATTAAAATGTAATAGGTTATTGTAATTTTTTTATTAAAAATATTATTATAGATGGGTAATATTTTTTATTCTCGTTCTTTTAATTTTAATTATTTTCTAAAATTAAAGTTTTTTATCGAGTAAAAAGTGTTTTATAAAAAATATATGCAACCATAAAATGAAACTTGAGATAATTTTTTTTTTATTTATATATATATTGGATCTAGCTTTAGTAATGACTTTGGCCTTTAGTGATGTCGTATTGCACTTGAGAAATTCTATGGTACCCATCTTATTTGAGAGGGTATCGGTACAGTTTTTTATATTTTATATTTTTAGTAATTTATTTAAATAATATTTATGATATTTTATTCTTTCAAATTTTAAATTATTTAGTCATTTTATTTTAAATTATTTAGTCATTTTATTTTTATTTTAGATATTCTAATTTATTTGTAATAATATTATTATATATTTAAATAGTTTAATTTTAATAATTTTTTAAGTATATTTTTATCTTTTCACTTAA